TGTTTGTCTGTCTGTTTGTTTGCTTGTTTGTTCGTTTGTTGGTTTATTTGTTTGCTTGTTTGTTTGCATTCACATCAAATTAGTTCACCTCGGTCTTTGCCGTGCTGCTGTTACCACTAAGATGGTAGCTGCACTGCGCTCCCTCAAGCCTCTTTTCTATCTTCAAGCTGCTCAATAGTACTTCAAACACTTATGTGGCTTCATCCTAAACCCTAAGCCCTTAAACCCTACCTAGACCCCAAAGAACCTACCTTTTTAAGGATTGATATAAGGGAAATTATAATAAGGAACCCTAAAAGGTAGGTTCTTTGGGGTCCAGATAAACCCTAAACCCTCAAACCCCGAAACCCTAAACCCCCTAAACCCATCGCGGGTTTGGAAGGTCTTGAGCCCTAACGCGACGGGCTCTGGGGCTCCAGGCAGACGAAAGCCTTTGGGTTTGGGGTTTTAGGGGGTAGGGTTTTAGGGGTTAAGGGGTTTAGGGTTTAGGGGTTTGGGGGTTTAGGGTTTAGGGTGTAGGGTTTGTGGGTTTAGGGTTTTAGGGTTTGGGGTGTGGGGTTCAGGGTTTTGCGTTTAGGGTTTAGGTTTGAGGGCCCAAGCCCTGAAACCCCAAACCCCCCAAGAAACCTTAACATAGGGGCCTTAACAATTAGAAGCGGTTTTTTGGGGGTACCTGAAAGAAAAAAAAAAGTAGTGTAGGCCCCGATATTACTCCTGAGCCCGAAATCCTCTCACCCCCAAAGAGCCTGGGCTTTCCCTAAAGACCCGGCCTTGGCCAGCAGGGACACGAAATAGTCGTTGTTGAATCGCCGCGAGTTCTCGGGATCGCTCCACCAGCCGTGGTAGCCTGAGTTGCTCACCTGACTACTTGGAGGTTCATGGGTAGTTACAAATGGGGTTAGAAGTAGGGTAACTATACTTATAACCCATATTCGGGGACTTATAACCTCACTTATAACTACCCATGAACCCCCACGTATAGAGCTTCTTCAGGTTCGTATGGCTTTCTAGAAGGGTTGCCTACTGGGTTTCACTAAGGCTCTATACGGCTTCGGCTTTGAAGACTCATAATTTCAGGGCTGATGCCTCCGCAGATCATGGGTAAGCAGCTACTTTGCGCAGCAAAGTGAGACGAACGTGGTTGGTCAGGAACTTGGGAGCTTTTCGCAGGCTGTTAGGGCCACCCTAAACCCTAAACCCGAACCCGGCTGATGGCCGTGAGGCGACAGGCATGTTGTGTGCGCTGCAGCTTGCAGTGCTACAGCGGGCTATGACAATTGCAACAGGCTTGTGGGACAGATGATACTATCGGATATCTGTGAAACAATACCAAGCAACTTTTCCTTCAACCGGCTGATTGAAAGTCTGGGCAGATATTGCATGGCTTTTCGACAGCTTCGGGCCCATCAGCTTTAACCAGGCCTTTCTAAACGCCTAAACCCCAAAGTCTATGAACCCTCAGCTCTAAATCCCAAACTCCTAAACTAAACTCTAAGGATCTACAAATAATTTCTAAACCCTGAAGTAAATCCCATAAAACCGCCAAAACTCTGAACCCGGAGCCCCCGAGCCGAAAACCCTGCCGGCACCTGTGCACGGCCCAGCGTGTGGACGGCCATGAGGGCGGCAGCCTCCGTCCAAGTGAGGCCCATGCTGTCAACAAAGGTCTCCTCGTGTTTTCGGATGGGTTTCGGGTTTAGGGTTTAGTATTGGGTAGTTCTCAAAATTCAGCGCCCCTTGTTAGGTCCCAGAAATACTACAGCACCCTTATAGAAGGGACCCTCATATAGAGAACTACCCAGCTAAGCTTCTATAAAGGGCTCCAGAAGGTTGACCGCGGGTTCTCGATAAGGGGTGTAGGCTGGGTACTGCCCCCCTGTAACAGTCTATTTACGGAGTGGGGGCAGTGCCCAAGGTTTAGGGTTTATGGCTTAGCGTAGGTTTGGAGACTCAGGGTTCATAAGGTCTGGGGCAAAGTTGGGTTTAGGGGTCGGTTCTTGGGTTTAAGGTTTACAGTTTCAGGCTTCAGATATTTCTGCGTGTCTTCCGCAGACGCCAAACGGCTCCAAGTACCGAAACATGGGCATGACTAACCCTAGAAGTAAGTTCTACACTCCCCTGAAACACTAATCTGCGCATCAGCGCATATAACCCAAACCCTCAACGGCCCCAAACCCAAGCTGAACATCTGATCTGTGCATCCTCACTCCTCCACAGCGGTGCAGCCTCGCTCGGGGTTCGGCAGGCGCCCTTCGGCGAAGGCGCAGCTCAGCGCCGTGGTGCGGCCGAAGCGGAAGGAGGACCGCAAGTCGAGCGCGGGCGCTGACGACGCCTCTTCGGGGGAAGAATTGTTTTAGAGTTTAGGGTTTGGGGTTTTGGGTTTTGGTTTTAGGGTTTAGGGTTTTGGCTTTAGGGTTTAGGGGGTTCGTGGGTAGTTATAAATGGGGTTTATAAGTAGGGTAGCTATACTTATAACCCATATAGGGGGAACCTCCACGTAGGGGCCTTGGCAATGACAAGAAAGTGCTTTTGGGGTATGCTTTTAGGCCGGATTACATAGGGACTAGAAGGCGATAGTACTACGAAACCACATCTCCATATGATACTATGGTTTTTAGGGTTTAGGGTTGAGGGTTTAGGGTTTGGGGATGTTGCCGTTTAGGTTCATGGGACAGGCTCCCGAAAAATCCTGAACCCTAAAGCCACTAACCATGCACTTGAAACCCCCATCTACCACCGTCACCCATCACACCCAAACTGGGGGAACCTTTGCCTCTTTACTCGCAGAGGGAAGGCCCAAAAAGCTCTCTTTTATCCTCTATTGCGCCTCTCTAAAGGCCCTAGTGAAAACCGTCCTGAACTGGCCTGGGCGAGATGCCGCGCGCGTGTTGACATCATCACCGCCTCTGCGGCGATGACCAGGAAGTCAGCCAAGGATACAGTGGCGCAGTAGTTCTGGTAGACCTCTCAGAATGGCTTAACCCTTAACCCTTAACCCTACACACTAAACCCTAAAGCCCTAAAACCCTACACCGTAAACCCTAAACCCTAAACCCTACACATTAAACCCTAAAGCCCTAAAACCCTACACCCTAAACCCTACACCCTAAACCCTCTCAGAGGGGCTTAGGGCTTTGGGGCTTACGGTGAGGCTCAGCAGAGGCCTCAGGTACGCCAGGTCTTCACCGGATGATATTGATTATGTATTGTATACATATGTTATATATATATATAAGACACACACACAGTTATATATACATGTATATATATATATATTGTTGAAGTTGTTTAATATTATGTTGCATGTGTGTGTGTATATATATATATATGGGTCCTAGCCGAGCTCCTAACATAAGGTGAAATCCGGGGCAGTTTGGTTTAGAATGTGTTGTCGGATCTGCATATAGACCCTTCAACGCATTTCTTCTGACCGTCTTTCCGCAAAAACATCTTCTATCCCGGAATAGCTACTGCAAGTCAGAAGCCCGGACGTCCTCTTGCAACGCGATCCGCCATGAACAACAAGGACGAAGGGTTTGCAGGGCTCCCCACACCTCGACCCCCATCTGCTCAGCCTACACCTCACATTCAGAATCCTACCTATAGGCTCCATTGCAGTTCCTTTTGGGGGTTACCTTATAGGATCCTAAATATAAACCACAGAAAGGAACTGGACCTACCCTCACTTGCGCCCGAACAAATGCCCCCGAACCTGAGGAGATCTGCTTAGGGTTTAGGGATTAGGGTGCCTGAACATCTAGACTCGGGTCTTCGGGGTATTCAAACTACATATTATGTGTCAGGTGATCCTAAGGTATAGTCGGTATAGTATTGATACCTATTCCCAGAAGGGGACCTCCACCAACGAGATGCCGTGCTCGCCGGAGGAGAGACAAGCAGGCAACCCACCGTTGTCAGGATCAGACATATCCTCAGCGACGTTAAGACTTGCACTGTCTAACGTAGGATGGATTCTGGCATAGGCTGTTTTGGAGGGAAAGCCTTCACATATGTGGCTCAGAACTCAGTTAAACATGGGGCTCGGGGCTGTAATTAGGGTGCAGGGCCCAGGGGCGGGTGCAAGGCTCGAGGTTTAGGGTCGCAAACTGTATAATAGAGGGTCGAGGATCCACAAGAGGTCCTAACACACCCTTACAAACCCCATCTGTGCATTTTGGGATTGCAGCCGGAAGCCGCCCTGCGCCTCAAATGACACCTACAGCCCAGGATATCCGCCTTTGCATCTCTTGATTCGAGGGGCCAAAAGGGTAAGCCCCAAACATCAAACCCTCATCAACCCTCAAAACTGCCCAAGCCCTGGTCGATCCCAATACAGTATACAGTATCCCAGGAGTGACCCTAAACCTACATGCTTCGGCAGACCCCAGTATCCTCCATGTTTCTTCGGAACGACTATAAGGGTTATATATATATATATAAATTTATTTATTCATTTATATACACATACATACACGGCTTCGAAGTTAGGCGAGTCTCGGTGCATGCGTCGGAGCCCCCTTGTCCATTCGCAAAGTCCATGAAGTCGTGGCCGGCCATGCGCAGGACGCAGCCCGCCCAGTCAGCCTGTACGGGCTTAAGAGTTTAGGATATAGGGCATAGGGCTTATAAGGCTTCAGGGCTTAGAGCTTAAGGGGTAATCGGGCCTATAGAGTTTTGGATTTAGGTCTAGGGTTCAGGGCTCAAGGTTTACGAAAGTTTACGGGGTCGCCAAAAAGAAAGCGAAACACAGCCAATAACCCTAAACCCTAAACCCTAAATGTAGGTGTGTCGGGCTACAGGCCGGGCTTTAGGGTTCTCAGATTTTGTTCGCAGTAGCGGCCTGGCAGTGGGTTATCGTCACCGGCTGTGGAGTCCAGCTTTCACTGTGGATGCAGGGCTTAGGGCTTAGGGTTTAGGAGCTACGTAGGGGTAAGGGCTTTAGGACCCTAAACCCTAAACCCTAAAGGCTGCGGGTGAACACAGGACATTGGGGGTTAAAGGTTTCTGGAGCCACACAATACCCGAGGCGTGTTCACAGCTTTGAGGCGTTGAGAATCCCGCAGCAAGGCCCGAACCACTCAGAAAAGGTTGAATGGCATGTAAGCTACTTTCATATATGCAGTTAGGAACTCGAACAGCATGTTCGCAGTGCTTGTAGGCTTGTTACGCAGCCTAAACCCCAAACTGTCGAGTTTTAGGGTGGCCTGCGGGCAGTTGGATGCCGTGCATGTCTCCGGAAGGGATTCCAGGTGGCCTCTCACCGCTGCCAATAGCTCGTCGTACTGTGCTTCGGTCATACATTCCTAGGATTCGCAGAGCCGCTACAGTTACTCGGGTACCCTGAAGGAGCCAAGGTGTAGACCCTCAGAGAGACGGACTTGTCGGTTTTTGGTCTAGGCGTGTTGCCTTTGCGGGGAGTAGGAAAAGCAATCGACGTGCCACTGACCACCGAACTTGCTGCTCTTCCCTTCAAGTGTTGCTTCAAGCGCTTTTTTTTCCGACAAGCCCAAGAAATACGAATCTCCAAACTCTCAAACCCGCACAGGGCTCTGTGGTGAGAGTTGCACCGCCGGGGCATGCCATCATCTCGGCCGGGGTGTTGTTCCTGGGCTGCTCTTCTGGCCCACTTTGTCTTAGGGCGCAGGGCTTTAATCGACTGCGGGGCACCCAAACATCGCCAGAGACTCCAAAACCCCTTTAAATAAGGAATATACCTGTCAACTGTACTAGGAACCCTAATATGATTTTAAGGTCTCTATTCCTTAATTAAGGGGGGTTTGGAGTCTCTGGGTCATCTCCTAAGCCCTGTAAACCCTATAAACCCTAAACCCTATAAACCCTATAAGCCCTATAAACCCTATAAACCCTATAAACCCTAAACCCTAACCCGCTTTATATCCGCCATCTTCCAGTTCACCCTAGGCTCTGGCCCGCAACAGCCGTGCCGCCTGCGATTGGCAGAAGCAGCAGCCCGAGCCGAATCATCGTCTCCATGGCGGCAATGAAAGCGCGGAGAGGTGCTGCCGGAAACTCTTGTGGCAAAGATGCGTAGATCGATATGAGCAGGTCAGATGAAGCGGTATTTTGCAGGATGGCTCGTGGCGATATGTTTCGATGCAACCTCGATCATGTGCCATGAACTTCGGCGCACTGAAGCATAAACAAGCCGAGAACCCCAACCTCCCACTCGAAAACCGTAAAACCCACAACCCTAAATGTGGCTCCAACTACCCGGCGCTTTTTGAAGCTGAACCTAGACTGACAGCTATCAAGCTAGACCCGAAACATCCCAAACGCCCCCAAACCCGAGTCCTGCCCTCGAAAACAAACACCGTGCGATCTGAACACCAGCTCCGCTCTACCCTAAACCCTAAACCTTGTTGACTGGGACGGTTTAGCCGGGGGGGTCGGGTTTTGAGCTCTTCAGACATGGAGTAGTGGTCGCTCAAGCCTTGCAGCCTGTAACCTTTCCAAACAGGCCAGGTTTTCGGCTGGGTGCCTTACTACTATATACAACCCCAATATGGGAGCCTGAATGGTGCTGTCTTACTATCATGTTGTATGAGGCTAGGAAGGGGTAGAAGAATTACATCGAAAATCAACTGAATGTGCACCTCTAAAGTTCTCTTCAGAGGGGCATGGCATGGCATGGCAATCTTCTAGTAGGGCGGACCCCGTTTCTGGCAAATCCAAGATCACCCCCACCCCCCCCCGACAGCCCGTTAATGGAAACCCACTACTACACCCGAAATCCCAAGACCCTAAACCCCTAAGCCCCTAAGCCCCTACCCTACACCCTAACCCCCAAAACTTTATATACGCCCAAAACCCTAAAACTCTGTATACCCCC